GGTGGGCATTTAGGTTGCTTCCAACACTTGGCTGTTGTAAATTGTGCTGCTATGAACATTGGGGTGCAGAGGTTCTTTTGAATTGGCATTTTGGGATTCTTAGGGTAAAATCCCAGCAGGGGAATCACTGGGTCAAAAGGCAGTTCCATTTTTAGCTTTTGGAGGAAATTCCAAACTGTTTTCCACAGTGGCTGCACCAGTCTGCGTTCCCACCAGCAATGTACTAGTGTTCCCTTTTCTCCACAGCCTCACCAGCACCCGTTGTTTGTTGATCTGTTTATGATGGCCATTCTGACTGGTGTGAAGCGGTATCTCATTGTGGTTTTAATTTGCGTTTCTCTGATGGCTAGTGATGCTTAGCATTCTTTCATATATCTCTGGGCCCTCTGTATCTCTTCCTTGGAGAAGTGTCTGTCCAGGTCCTTTGCCCATTTTTGGCTTGTTTGTCTTCTTGGAGTGGAGTCGTGTGAGTTCTTTATATATTTTGGAGATCAAACCTCTATCTGATGTATCATTGGCAAATGTATTTTCCCATACGGGTGGTTCCCTTTTTATTTTGCTAATGTTTTCTTTAGCCATGCAGAAGCTTCTCATTTTGATGAGGTCCCACTTGTTTATTCTTTCCTTTATGTCCCTTGCTTTAGGGGACATTTCAGTGTGTCCAGTGTTTTTGAAAATCATACCAAATCTACAGTCTACACATATTTTCAGTTCACTTCTTTCCATGCCCATGACACTTTCATCTCTTGTCTGGAACATAAAGGCAACTCCCCATTGGTCTTTAAATATCTAATCTTGTCACTCTCAAATGGCCAGAATACTTGTAGTTAAGATCTTTGTGCAGAATGAAAATCTAATTGTGTTTTTCCCTTAATTAAGACAACATCAGGGCTTGCTTGTCACTTGCAAGGGACAGTCCCAGATTCTCAGTATGCCTTCCAAGATCTTGCCTAATCCACACCTTCTTTATTTTGTCCCCTTACCTTCTTCTGAAAGAAGCCTCTTGACACCTTTTTCAAGTTTTACATTTGCTAGAACTTGAAAAAAAAAAGGCTTTTCTTAACTCTTTAAATGAGATCAGGTGAATTCATTTGCATAAAATCTCATCTTTCCTTTTGGTAGTGTTCGTCACACTTTAAATACAACGCATCTTGACATCTTTTGGGTTCCATGAGTGCATCGATTGTGCCTCTCTTGTTCAATCTTCTGTCCTCAGTGCCTGACACCAATTGAGTGTTTAACAAACATTGTTAAGTGAATATTCAATAAATGAATACGTTTCAGAGCATGACCTTGTATTTTGACTTTCAAATGCAATATGACACTTGGAAATACCTGAAAATGGTGTATTTCATGTATTCATAATTACATGTTGTAATAAGGTACAGCTAAGATAATTTAAAGAAAGTAAGTGTACCTTCTCTTGCTGCTTCTTTCCTACACAGTTTGCAAAAGTAAAATTTGCATAAGGAATCAACTGGGAGACTACATTACGAAGGCCACATTCTTTTCATAAATTCTCCATCTTAAAGGCAGAAAAATAAAAGATTATATTACAAACTGGCTTCCCGAGCCGCCACTCTGAAATAACTATTCCATAACTGATAGATAATGTCACCAGTGATCTCCATGTCATAAATTTCAAAATATTTTATGTCCTTATTTTCTTGGACTGTTTAGAAGCTTTATCCACAGTAAAGTGTTTCCTCCTCCCTGTTATAAAGTGTTCTTGAGCTTTCTATTTCATAAAGATAACTTTATCATTTCTTTCTGAGGTTGATACATATGCACAAAATTGATCCAAGCAATTCATTGAGACAAAGATGATATTATACTTTTACTCATTTTAAATTAGCTTTATTAACTTTTGAAGTTATAAAAATAATAACTAATGAATACAAAGATGTATAAAGAAAACTTCCTGCCCACATTCAAATTTACTTTACTTAGTAATCAAAGTTGACAATTTGTTGTATATTTCTTCATCTAGTTTTCATGCTTATCTAGTTAAATGCAAAATAATATGAATATATTTAGCTTGATGTTTGCTTATTTCTAAAAAATAATCTTAATGATATATATTATTCTGCAACTTGGATCACTCTTTGAATAGTAATAATTTTCCAGGTCAGTAGTTACAGGTTTAATTCATTATTTTTACAGATTTAATTTATTGTCTTTATACCATGTAGTTTTTCATGGTAATAATAACCACAATTTATTTAATCACATTCATTGATAAGCATTCAAATCATTTTCAGGGCTTTGCTACTACAAACAATGTTGTAATAAATATTATATAGGTATTCTTATATACCACCACCTTTATTTCTAGAGGATATATTCTCAAAGTGGGATTATGGAATCAAAGTATATGTATATTTACATATGGGTATCTTTTAATGTTAATGGCTATTGATTATGCTCCCAAATGATTGCAGAATTTTTTATTTCCAAGATGGCTGCCTTATTCCACATTGACATTATATGTTAGTAGTGCTCTCCTTCCAGTTCCTGGTAGGCTGCCACACCACACACCTGCTGTGAGGAAGCCCGAGTGACCCTCGCTGCAGGCCAGTTGGTTCCATACTCTTAGCCCCTTTCCCAGTTTCTCACTGGAGCATACTCAGACTTCTGGATGACATCCACACCACAAGGAAGTCTTGGGGGTAGCATTTGCCAAATGTTTTCACCCCATCATTTTTCTGCTCTAACAGCCTAGTGGACATTTGAAGCTACTCCACAGGAAGCATTCCTCCCAAAGTTTTAAACTGAATGTGTTCACAGGCCCCCTCTACTTTTGGTTCTCTTGACCTTTTCTGTGGTTCCCCCTTCTTCTCACCACCACACCACACCCCAGACTAATATCTAGAGATATTGGTGCTGAATCCCTGAATGAAACAGGCAGTTTCTTAAATCTGAACACTTCTTTGACATTCTCTCTCCCAGCCAACCAACCTACCTTGCAGGAACTTTCTCTACTTTATAGCTTTCATCCAATTTACCCCAAGAATGTTTTTCCTAGATGGTACCTGCTCATCTAGGGAAAGGAAATAAACCTGAGTAGCTCAGAGAGAGAATCTTCTCTTTATATATTGACATCTATACCTTAACCAAAATATTTACCGACCCCATGAATAAATAGCCTTCATAATTGTCTTCTTTACCCACACTCTGATTTGCCTCCTGTCGCTCTTTAGAAAGTCTTTATATCTCTACCTTTCCTCCCCCCTGTAGTCCCTGAACTTTCTCAAGATAAAGTTTAAAACCCATGCTGGTAATAGGTGTTTCACATAATATTTTTCTTCTCTTTCAAAAATCTATCTTTATTTAGCACATATTACAAATTTCCAGAAATGTGGTCGTCCTCCATTTACACTTAACTCTAGTTATAGGATCTATTTCTTCTTAATTTTTATTTTCTCCAGTTCTTTCCCTATTTTGAGATTTCTACTCTGATTCATCATCATAATATGGTTAGAATGATTCATTAAATGTTGTCCTAATATAGAATACGTGAGTAGTATGCATATCAGAACTTTTGCATATTTAGAAGTGACTTTCTTGCCCTGGCCAGGTACCAGGTAGTGCAGTTGGCTGGAGCACTGTCCCAATATGCCAAGGCTGTAGGTTCATTCTCCGGTCAGGACACATACAAGAAGAAACCAGTGAATGGATAAATGAGTGGAACAACAAACCTATGTCCCTCTCTCTCTCTCTCTCTCTCTCTCTCTCTCTCTCTCTCTCTCATTCTTCTGTCCTTTCTCTAAAATCAATAAATAAAATTTAAAAAAGAATAAAAGTGACTTTCATTTGCCTGGATAGATGAATAATATTTTGGCAGACAAGTTATTAGGTTGCTGTATTTTTTTGCTACTGTTACTACAGATATTACCTTATTATCTTTGAGCTTAGTATGTCACAGATGAAAGGACTGAGGCTCTTGTGTTCCATTTTTCTTTGTAAGTAATTGTGTTTCTTCAGTGTAGAAGCTGCTACAGTTTCTTTTTTTTTAACAGTAGAGTTTGGAAATTTCACTTATGTATATTTAGTGGGCTATGTGCTTCAGTAATCTGTCCTCAGATTCAGTGAACCATTTCAATCTGCAGACTGAAGCATTCCTTCATTATAGCTACATTTTCTACCATTTTTTATTGAGTTATTATTTCTCCCCTGTGTATTAATTCTGAAGTTTGTACTATTTATATGTTGGGACTCTTAGGTCTGTCCTCCAACCCTACTATTATTTCTCTTAAGTAATGTATGCCTTTTAGTTTTCTCTCTCTCTATTAGCTTCCTATTTCTGCTGTAATAAATTACCACAAAGTTAATGGATTAGAACAATGCAAATTTATCATCTTACAGTTCTGTGGATTTGCAGTCTGACCTACATCTTATTGAGCTACAATCAGGGGTGGGTTAGACTTCATTCCTTTCTGGAGGCTCTCATGGAGAATCCTTTCCCTGGTCTTGCCAGCTTCTGAGAGCACCCTCATTATCTTGTCTCGTAGTTGGCTCCCTTCTTCTATCTTCTATTCATTAGTGGCCAAATCTCTCCATAAAATTCCTCTTCTGCTTTCCTCTTACACTTTAAAAAAAATCCTTGTGATTACATTGAGACTACCTGGATAATTACTCTCCTAATCTCAAACTTAACCTTAATTCAATCAGATCTGCAAATCCTCATTTGCCATGTAAGGTAACATTCACATGGCCCAGGGAGTAGGGCATGGACATTCTTAGAGGCCATTATTTTGCCTACCACATCTGTGTCGTGAAATGATGGTCCTCCCATTTAGCAATCAACAACAAATAGTTGAAGGATAGACAAGAATAATGCATGAAAAGGGAACTCAAATAGGCCGTGATAATTTTCAGAGCTGTTTGCAAGTATGCTTTTCCTGTTAGCCTTCACAGACCTTACTCCCTGATGCAGCGTATTCCACACAGTTAGAAGTTGCTATGGCTGGAGTGACAAACATGTCATTGTTCTCTCGTAGAATCCAGTGAACATGAAGACAAGAGTGCAGGTGCCTCAGGGGAGACACCCTCCCAGCCTTATCCTGCACCAGTGTACAGTCAGTCTGAGGAGCTGAAGGAGCAGATGGATGATGCAAAACCAACAAAACCTGAAGAGAATGAGGAATCAGACCCATTGCCTGATAACTGGGAAATGGCCTATACAGAGAAGGGTGAAGTCTACTTCATTGAGTGAGTTCACACATTTCTTTGAACATTGCCACAAATGTCATAGCAGTATATAAATGACATAGCAAATGGAAATGTGGTAAAAATAAAATAATAAATTCTATTGCTTCTGTCATTAGCTTCTTTCTTTGTTAGAGAATAATGGGATAGTTCCTTAAAACAGTTAAGGATCCTAAATTACCCCTATAAATCAAAGGATTTATTAAACAACTTCATTGTAAAATTTGTTACAATTATCGGGATATGCTTACTCTATTCTTCCAAGACATCCGTATAGTCCAAAGGAAATAATCGCACATTTTTAAGTTGGATTACTGAAACTCCCCCTATCATGTTCTGTGATTTAATAGGATGAAGCTATTTAGAGCAAAATGCTTGCTGGTCACAAAAGAAAATATTGTGAGCATTTGATCCTGAGATCAGGTGTCAATAAAATTATTTATTTTTGTATTGTTCATCATACTTATTTTTTAAACTCTCTTGTATTTCTTGCTCTCCATTTTTATGACTTGCCAAGGAAACTACAGTGCTAATCCTGAACCCCCTGGTGATACTTACTCTATCTAATCTTTTCTTTCCTTTGGGGCTTCTTTTCCCAATTTGAAATTTTTTGTTTTTTGTTTTTTTAAATGAAAGGTTTTATTTGCAACTTACACAGCTTCATGAAACAAACAAAAAATGCTCTTCAGAATCTAACATAGACTAAGTTAAACACTGAAAAATATTGGTAATATACCTGTTTTGAAATAATTCAAACATAATTAAATGAACTTTGATAAAATGTTCCTTAAGATGATACTTTGTAAATAGAAAAGTTAATTTATACACATTTTGATAAATATGTAGATATATTTTATTTGTCAAGAATAAATGTCAGCTTTACTTAGAATATTGAAGTACAAAAATAAAAAATTGTATACCTATGACTGTTAAGAAAAGTTAATTGTTCTGAGGATACTACTAAGGCACTGAATTCAACTATCCCTTTTGATATGAATCATCTAAATTTTTATATCTTTAGTATTCAAATGTTCATAGCTATTTTCTTAAGCAATATTTTTAGTAAGATAATTCAATCTGATTATTTTTCCCCTAGAAGACAGAATTCTAAGCAACAGTATATAATACATCCTACAGAACACACTGTGATAACATCCAGGTTCAAAAGTATTTATCACTAGAAAAAGGGTTTATACACCTGGATGCTTTTCTTTGGAACTTATTTTTTTCACCACAATAACACATCAACCACAGAAAGGCATACTGAAGCATGGAAGGCTATCATGTTATATAAAATTTGATACAAAATCTTAGGATCACGTTACCAACTAGATAATTATATCAAAAATTAAAAAGTTCTATAAAACTATTATGAGGTTAGACTTTCAGGTACATAATACATTTTAAAACATAGTCCCCAAATTTTACCTTTAGTATGTATAACAAAAAAGTTCATCTTGGAATATGAATGCAATCAGACAGCAATAACAACATAGAGGAGTTTGGTATTTTCAATGGCACTGACACTGCTCTGTGGTGTAATGCTCTGCAAAGTGACAACAAATTGGTCGCAGGAGCAATGACCTAGATTCCTCACAAACCAGCAATTTAAAAACTTCTAACAGTGAATCTATAAGTTCATCATCTGGTCTGGGCTTATATATTGATCTTATTTATACTTGAGTGTTTTTCCATAAATGGCCACTTATGGAACTGTGGCCGCTTGCCAGATAGAACAAATAAAATAAGCAAGAAAAATCACAGCATACTTCTAACATTTTAATAACTTTGTTTGTGATGACTTTCTGTTATCTGGAACCTTTGTTTTACATAAAATTGGAGTTCTTACAGTCCTTGTCCTTCTTTAGGTTGCTGCCCATCACCATAAAAGTCTGGTTCTGGTATATCTGAGGTAGCTTTCTTTTTAGAGAAAGAGATTATTTCTTCTTCCAAAAGTCTTCTCTTTTCTTCAAGCTTCATTCTCTCTTCTTGATGGGCTCTTGTGAAGTGATCAAATTTGGCCTGTACCTCTCTTTCAGCTTTTTTTAGTATGGCTTCTTTCTCCTTCACTCGCGGCACAAACATCTGCTTCATCTCCTCTTCCTTCCTCTGGAGTTCCCCCTAAAACTCGTGTCTTTTGGTTTCGTAGGTCTCTTGAAGACTGAGCGGCTTACTCTCTGGGCCCACGTCAGTAAAGCCCATTTCCTCTAGTTTGCAGCGCCTGTATAGTTCGTAGTGCCCAGAGCGGGTCTGTTCTCGCAGGTCCTCCATGTTTGTGCAAATGAGCATTTACCGGAGTTTTACAAAGTCACAGTGGTTTTCGTTTTCCACTTGAACAACACCCCAAGGGTACTGGCGAGCTTTGACCATCTTATTTCCAACTTTTATCTCATCCATGCTTCCTACAACAGCAAATGGCAAATGTCCATTCATTGAAGTATTGATTTTAGCAACAGTTTCATCATCTGTTGGGAACTGGTATGTCTGGACGCCATTGCTGACTAGTTCACTCATGAACTTGCTCTTAAACTTCTGTAATTCAGTTTTAGACATTGCATCTGCTTTGGCAATTTCTGGTATAATGTTCACCTTGCTAGCAAGGCTCTTCATGGTTAAGAGATCAAGTGTCTTCAGAGAGTGGCCTGTTGGTGAGATGAAGTAGAGGCACACATGGATACGAGAATCGTGATAGTTAAAGAGAGAACGCTTAATCTTCAGTTCTTCTTGGAGACAGCCCTCAAATTGAGCATCTACATAGTCAGCTATGGGTTGGTAGCTTTCTTTTTTGTTTATTTGGTCACCAAATCCCACTGTGTTCGCAATGGTCAATTTCAATCGAACATTACTTTCTTGGAGTTCATATATCTGAGCTTTAAGTCTAACATGTGGGCAAAAATGTGAGGATTCATGGTCTTCAAAATTAGTATTAAACAATGTATCAATCAGCATTGATTTTCCAATTCCAGTCTCCCTGACACAAACAATATTGAAGCAGAAGCCTTGCTGAATGGATCTGTTGACCAGCTGATCAGGCAAACTCTCAAAACCAACATGGCCACACATAGTCAAAGAATGGATATTTTCTCTTTTTCTCTTTTCATCATCAGATACTTGAGAGGACATACAAGATTTTGTTTCCATGTGAGACTGAAAGAGCGTGGTCTCCTGTGGAGGCACAGACAGAGTGGGCTGGAGACCCTGGGGAGGGACTGGGAATGGAGGCTTTGTGGGGAGAACTGAGAGAGAAGCCAGCGGGATCTCGGTCCTGACTCATCCTCTATGCGGCAGCACCCATCTTCTGAAATTTTCAATATGTTTTATTAATACTGTCTAATTTTTCTTTTATCTCCTAGAAGTACTTTTTAAAAATGAACTGCAAAGTTGAAGATCCTAGCACAAAATTAAATTGTTAATATGCATAAGATAATCACAATGTTCATTAGAAAGAATAAAAGCGAATATTATAAATTAAAAACCAACCCTTAATAAAAATATATAAACTCTGATTATTCAAAAAATATTAAAACTGGATTCTTTTTCCCAACCTGGAATGATTTGTGACTTAGATCTCCATAGGTAGAACTCTGTTGTGAAATTGAAATGTTACCACATGCCAATATTTAATTCTCACATGAAGGTCGAAATTTTGATACATGTGGCTGAGGGAATACATAATCAGGTAATTACTTACTGCTCTGCTTGACTCCCATATGGATGATTTCTGCAGTGTTTTGTGGAATATGAATTACTATCATTCACCTTTTGACAAAACTTACAAATTTGAAAAAACTAAGAATCTCTTATATTATGTCTTTGCTATAATAAATAACCCAAAGACAGTTTTTATCAATTAAGTGGAAAAGAGAAAGTAGTATAGAATTTTTTAAATGCACAAAAGTATTTATATGCAAAACCATAATTTTGTTACTGATAAGCACAACGTGGAACTCTTGTAGACCAGTTGTGAAATATAACCCTTAGATGTGAGGTCACACATTTATGTTCAGAACAACTGATGTTTAGAACAAGGAGACTGATGATATCACATTTTTAATATAATACGAGGACAGTAAGGCTATGTGGAAATAATAAAAGAAAACCAACATAAGTCAAAAGAACTGTTTTCTTATGATGTTTCCAGTAATGCAGTTATAAAATCTTCTCTCTTTGGGACTATAAATAAACTTTTTTTTTCTTTTAATAGGGTCAAGTTTGAGGATTGTAGACAAAGGGATTTTGGAAGACAGAATTTGTGCTAATGGTATATAATAAATAATTAGACTTTATCAGGACTTGGGAGAATCTACCAACATTATTCTGTTAATATACTAGTCAGTCATCTAGTGTCAGAATTCAAAGACTCAAAAGATTTAGTTTCTGCTTTCAAATTTATTGTCAAGTTGGGGAACAGAAACAAATAGTTATAAAGTATTAGTAAACAATCTCTGAGTTTTGTGATAACTATTCAGGGAAGGATATGCTTAGCACAGATTTACGTAGTAAAAGGAGGCATCGTAGATAAAGTGCAATAACATAGACTGGAAAACTCGGTAATACGTAGATAGATCATTCCACATATGAGAACTGTTATTACAAAAACCCAGTCCTTGTGTGTATTAGAAATAATTAGACCTTACTAGGGGGTAGGTTTAGTTGGTGAATCCTGTGAAATGATTGCTTAGTTTTCATTTTGCTAGATCAGCGGTGTTTTTGAAAGACAAGCAGAGGGTTTTTTCTGTTTTTTTATATTCTTTGTGTTACTGCAGGGAAGGATGAACGTATAGTATTAGGAGCAGAGATGGGTTGATTTGGACAATTAAGACAAAAGAAGGAAAAATTTTATTTGTAGTGAGAAAGCTGATGCTGACGGGGACTCATTCAGAGGAGAATGCCGAAGCCTGGAGTTAAGGCTGAAGTGAGTGTGATGAGAAGATGATCAATATAGCGGGCAGGAGCGAACGGCCTGCTTGAAAGGTTATTTCACAGAATGGAGGCATCCGCCA